TGCCAATCTGCCAGAGTATTTTCACTATATATATATATATATTTTTTTTTTTTTTTTTTTACAGTGTCTCGTCAATAAGACTATTTGAAATGAAAATTATAGTTGAATATTAGAAAAGAAATATAAAAAAAAAACATGCAATCGAAATAAGGCAATGCAATTGTTTTTCCTTATTTTAAATCTAAATTGTCTTGTTCCATTAGCAGTAAGTGTCTCACTTACCTCTTCAATTCAAGAAAAATTAACTTATTTTAAGAAAAAATTACTTGTTTAGATGTAAATTATTTGCAGTGTATATTCCAGGTTTATGTATTAAAGTTGCCACATACCTTTTTGCAGTTCCTCTCTTGGAAGAACGGGCAAACGATTTTAGAGCTGATGACTGTAAAAGACTCTCCGCTCTTCACGCAGGTTTTACTCTCACACTTATTTTCAGGAGGCGACCAGGTTTCGTCAACCTTAAAATCATCAAAATACACATGGTGTTTTTAGAAAATAAAACAAATGAACAGGTGAAAGAGATTAATTCAGTTTACCTTTAAAGGTGTTGTAGAACCATTAACATTGATCACGCAGTGTGTTTGCACACACGCCCCACAGCAGTCAGCTGGGTTGGTTTTCACATATTCAAATCCCTGAGAAAAAGACAATAATAAATTAAATCCATATGGCCAAATGAAAATAGATTTCCTTCAGTTGTTGATTGGAGACATTCTAAGATGAACTTTGGATGCCGATTGGCTTTCATGGAGGCGTGGTTGAAAGCTGATTGGCTGTGTCGCAGGCGGCTGGAGGCGAGTAATCAGTTTATTCAGTTGAACTTCCGCCTAGGCTCCATTTCTAAGATAAAATGTATGATTTATTTTCTAAATGAGGCTATTTGGCATGTAAATAAAAATATAATAAATATAGGATAAATTAATAGGTTAGATTGATGTAAGTGCTTAATTTTGGTCTATAATTCAATTAATGTTTTTCTGAGTGATAGCTGGGGGAAAGGTTGAAAAATATAAATGATCCATTAAAATGTAACATTCCAAACAGAAATCTGTCTCAATTATAGCTAGTTTATTAATCTAGAAGGTGTTTTTTTTATTTCAAAGGGAACACAAAATTAACTTAGCCCATTAGAAGCAAAACAAGGGAAAAAAAGGTGTTTACCTACTTTAATTGGAAATCTACAGCCATAAAAACTGCAGATATTTAGAGTTGTTGAAAACATTTCTGCTAAATTATTATGATGTGCAGAAACTTCCCAGTAAACGTAAAACTAAATTTCTTCGTGCAACTTCCCCAGTTGCATGAAGCTTTGCATTATATAGTTTGCTTACAGTGACACGCACCTGAATGACTTTAAAATAGTGCTTATGCAAAAAAAATAAAATATTCAGATGTCTGAATTCATGCTCTCTGAGGAACCTCCAAGTCCTTCACAAAGTAGCTGTATTTATACGTGGAAAAACACATAAAAGTAGATTATGTTAATTATTCTGCATTTTTTCACATTTTTTTATTTTATTTTAGATTGCCATTCATTGTTTCCCTTTCTGTCCACAATTGTGTACCACTTTGTGTTAGTCTTCGACAAAAAATCATCATGAAATATATAGATGTTTTTGTTTTTAACAGGTAATTTTTTTTCCTTTTTCCCCCCAACAGCTTTAACAATAAACATACAAGTCATGGGAATGGCAGACAGAGCAACTGAACATTAAAATATGACCCACCATACTAACACCTGAAACTTTATAAAAAAAAAGACTGTTGCAAGACTACATAAGGTATTAAATCTTTTTAAATTCCTTACTTAAATCATATTTAATACTACCATGCATGTTACATTGTGTATAGTATGGGAACCACTTTGTCTTTCTTACCTCTGCACACGTTTCTTTGCACTGCCGAGGTCTACACACTATTTGCATTTCATCAGCAAAGGAAGAGTTTGCAGAGCAGGTGCAATCCTCACAAGTCTTGGCAGGAACTGAGGAACCAGGCTGACAAAGGCAAATAAATTCAGTATTAATCCAGGAAGTGATAAAATATACTTATACATCAATATTTATTCCTTACCCTGTATTCAACATCATCTTGGACACAGACTCGTTTACGTTCTAGGAAAAACAATGAGCAATTTAATAAATAAGATAGAAAATGTTTGATTATTTAATAATTTTTTTTAAGCTCACCACATCTACGTTCTGGACAACATTTTCCTTTAGGAACGCGGATGTTTGACCTAAAACCAACTGGACAGTTCATGTTGATCTCTGGACACGCACGGCTTTCACATTCTGTTTGACAAAGACGAAGAGCTCAAGTTATTACAAATGTTAGGAGCCTCCAGCTGTAAGTAATAAAGATCATTATAGTTAGATGTCTTACGACAAACGTGGAGAGTACAGCAGGGATCGGATGGATCAGTTTGATTGACAAGAACGTATCCTGGACCAGAGCATTGTTGTTCAGCTGGTGTTGGGCACGGCTTAGGCTTGCAGATCACAGTCTTGGTGGACTCATCACAGACACAGTTTTGACACTTGTATTCAAATGTCTCATTGAACTAGAGGAACAGCAATGAAGAGATGGCTTAAATATGTCAGGAAACCAAAAATAGACTTTACAAGAAAATCAGGTTAAGCTCACCTCACGGGGTGTCCCATCAGGATCAAGGCATCCTGTTAAAACATTGCATAAACAACATGATCTTTTTCTCTTCATTCTCTCTATATACTAATGATAATGCAGCTCAGTAAACTGAGTTACATATAGTAGTGAGTTATGGAGCAATACTTAGGGAGGTATTTTTTTCTAATCCCCAAGCACCATAAAACTAAATAAACAAAAAATAACAAAAATCTCTAAATAACTTAAGTTTGTACGATTTGACAGTTTTTTGGGGAATAGACATGGTAAGTTTGTATTCTTCATAACAAATTGCTTGTGAGCTTCAGGGAGCTGTTTTTCTACTGCTGTTGGTTAGAATCAGCAGAGGCTGACATCAGGACTTCAACTTGGAATAAAAACATTAGTAGTAGCCAATTTGATACTACACTTCAGTCACCCAGTTACACTTTATTACCAAAAGTATTTGCTCAGCCATCCAAATTATTGTAATTAGGTGTTGCAACATCTTCCATGGCCCCAGGTGTATAAAATCAAGCACCTAGGCATGCAGGTTTTATAAGGAACGCGCCCAGGAACTCAGTGAATTCCAGCATTCCTACTTTATGTTTGCTTACATTTTTAATGGGTTGTATTATATTTTAGCCAAAACACTTACATCTTTCTTCAAAAATGAACTAGACTGATTTAAACTATGAAATCTTGGAATTACACCTATTATGTGATGATAATAATACTAATATTTACTTATTGCACCGATCCAGATCACATATCAGCTCTGATATTGAAGGTTTTTGATGATCACCATAAATTCTAATTGATTCAAATGAATGAATTTTTTCTTAGCATGAACTGTTATGTTTCATGGATGTTATTGAGCAGAGAATGGGTTAGCATTTCATGAATTCTAGAAGTAATAGTTGTAACAACAGCAAATAGTTTTGTACACAAAAAATAGTTTTTTAAAAATCATGGGAGACTGAACAACAGGATTCCGAATGTAGAGGATCCTAATTTAAATACATTAGGAGAACAAAAGGTGAAATCTTGAACCTTAGGTTTAAAACACACAGATTTCAATACTTACCGCAACTTTTAACACATATGTTTGAATCTTTGCTGAAAAGTTTCATTCCTTCCGGACAAAAGCAGCCTTCAGTAGTGAAGTTCATAGTTGGATCATTGGGACTGCAAAATGTAAACATTGAAAACGCTGTTATTGCTCCTTATAGGACTGTAAGTTCCCCTTTAGTTGTTTCTATTTTAGTATTAATATTGTGGTATTATTATGTATATCACCATTAATACTGCACAAATGCATTTCACAGTAAGACAGTGTTATCACACACAAATTCTGCTAACAACATAATGAATTGAACAAAGTCTCCTAGAGATGATACAAAGCTGAACATTTCAGAACACCAGCCCTCCAGAACAAGATTTGGATGTCTTTACTCTGGTAAGAGATCACTGCATTGAGAAAGTGGACAAAACACTAAAGCCCAAAATCCTTTTTGTACCCCTTGAAGATTGTAAATTAGAGTACAAAATGGCACAAATGTAATAAGCATTAATACATCTAGTTGTATCTAATAAATGTCGAGGCTCCGGGATCAGCAGGAGAGAAACACTAAAGACACATAGGAACACAGAATCCCAAATAGTGGGGCTCCCTTGATTGGCTCCTTTACTTAGTATAGTGGGGGGCTGTGAGGCGCGTTCAGGGGTCCTAGGGGGCTCTGGGGGGCGCTCG